CTTTTTCATGATTTGAGTTTAAGTAGGTCCTTTTAGTTCGTTGATTCGAATTTTTAACTCGATTTGAAATGTAATTTTATATGAAAGTTTTTTATTATAGTAAAAAAAATAAATGTGACTATTTATGAGAGTTTTTTACTGTAGTAAAACTCGAATCAGTAAAATGAACGAGACTTAGAAACTCAGCAAGTGTAGTGAGGTTCTTTTCTCACGAGGTGGGTAAACAAAAATTTGGTAATCTAAGCAAGAAGATCTTGCAATTTAAGATTTAGAGCCCGTTTGGTTGGAGGATTCGTTCTCTGATTCGAATTATGGTTCATGGTTTACTACAATATTTTCTATCATAAAAAACACACATAAATTAAAAATAATTATAATCTTATGGTTCTAATCCATGAACCAAACAGGCTTATTTTCAGATTTTTACGAGGCTCATAACTGTGTGGGAGAAGATGAGGCGGATTCACAGGCTAAAAAAGAAGAACGACAAACTCTATCTTTGGAAGGAGTCGTTTTGTAGGCAAAAGGGCAAGAGCTGATTGGCTGCAGGGAGGCAATTGAAAGAACACATTTTTCTATTGTAAAGCCTAGAAAAGCACAGTTGTTCAATAATGCTGGGAAATGGATTACATGATTACATCCCAATGATGGTGTGATGAAGGTGATCACAGATTATTTCAATGACATTTTCTGATCAAATTACTGAGTTTTAACGAATTCTCAATTGTTTCAACAGGCTATGAAGCGTTACTTCTGGTAAATTTTTCTTAACTTAATCAAAATATGTGAGTAAACAATCCAGTCAAATGTATCACTAAAAAAAAAAAAAAACTAGTCAAATAAAGACAAATAATCTATTACATGCATACATCTATACTAGATCACAATCCGTTTCCCGTATTGCCAGCATTTCGGCAAAACTTTTTTTTTTGTTTACCTTTTATGTTTTTTTTTTTTTTTTGTTGTTGTTGTTGTTGTTGTTGTTGTTGTTGTTGTTGTTGTAATTTTTTCCTTTTCTTGTGACATTTTTTTATAAAAAAAATGTCCTCCTTTATTTCCTTTTTTTTTCCTTCTCGGTTTTTTTTCTTTTCATTTTTTTACTTTTATTTTTCTAAATTTTTCTTTTATTTTTTTAGAACCTTTTCCCAATTGCTAATATAAAATAATACAATACAATATTTTAAGAGTGAGTCGTATTTAATAGTACGACATAGACCGTATTAATTTACAATCTATATTAGCTTATAAGATACAATAGTCACACTAAACATTACATTATTGTATTATTATACAATACGATACTTTAATACAGTTAAATAAATATGCATAGATGAATAAGAGTGTAAGGGTATGTTTGACGTGTTGTATTGTATTGTATTGTATTATGTCGTATTGTGTTGTTCTTATACAATACATTGTTTGGTGTTGCACCGTATTAACATGTTATATTATAATATACAATGTTTGGTTTACTATTGTGTTGGATTATTTTACACATTTTTTATGCACTTCTTTTCAACTTGTTTTCTCTCTAAAATGTCTCTCTTTGTTCTCTCTCCTCATTCTCTCTCTCTTTGTTCTCTCTCTACACTTTCTTCTCTTTTTTATCTCTTTGTTCTCTCACGTTTTTATTTTATTAAGATTATATTCTCTCTCTCTCTGTTAAAGAATGACTTTTAAGCTTGTATTACTAAGAAAACAATAATTAATTAATTATTTGCAGAATATCCACTCTCACATTGTATTGGATTTTTTTACTCATTTCGTCTGTACATTTTTTTTTTTACTTGTTCACTCAAAAATTTCTCTCATTATTCTCCCTATACAGATTCTGCTCTCTCTCTCTCTCTGTTAATAAGAACCTCAAATTGATAAATTAATGAAGATAAAAACCAAAAACAATACGAATTGAGAATTAGCCATTTTCACCAAAAATCAATAATAATTATAATGCCACAATACGATTATAAAATAAAAAATACATTCTAAAAACAAACATAGATCAACAACTACCCAAGTATACGAATTCCAAACAAGGTCTAAAAACTAATATATTATAGTAGGTCAAATGTCTAAGCCATCTAACAAGCTCTCAAAAGCATGTTGGTTTCACAAAAGTAAACCCTCCTCCTATCACGGCCGCCTTATCTCCCTCAAAATTCTCCTCACAAATGAGCCATCTATGGACATAAACGTTGCCACGTATTGTGGTTTCTACAACATGTGGGTCAAAACATCGGCTGTGTTTGAAATTGATCTCATTTTTATTTTTTACGTTTTTTGAGAAGAAAAAAATGAAAACGTATCTAAAACGACATTTGGCGTAATAAAGACAAAAAAACAGAAATAAAAATAATTTTTTAATTTAGTATAAAATGAGATGAAAATGAAAAACGACTTTTAGTCGTTTTCATTTTTTTATTTTCGTTTTCTCCTCTCTCAACCAGAGAGAGATAAAGAAACATTAATGAGTTTTTTTATACTGAAAATAATCTCTTAATAAAACTACTAAATGCATTTTCAAAAATGATTTATGTCTGAAATTAAAAATATTTTTATTTTTATTTTCATATAAAAAATAAAATCATTTTAAAATGAGTTCCAAACGTACCCATCAAGTTAGTCATCCTCAGAAAGGCCTAATATCTTTTCCATCTCCATTGCCTTGAATAAGCCGCTCACTAATTAGCCTCATTTGCTCAAATGACTGCCCAATTAATATTTTCTTGAATGCAGATGCAACTTCCAACATTCCATCTTACATATTTTCTAAGCGACATCTTTTCCTTCGATTAGATGGTCTAGATGAAGTCTGATTCACTGACCTACTATCATCTTCTTCTGTTGCATCATCTACATCAACCTCTTGATTCATATTCTCAACTGGTGTTTCCGCTCCTCTACCAATTGCTCTATCTTTACCGAAGATATTAGCAAGCCTATCATAAATTGGAAAACTCTTCTTCCTCTAACCTTCAGCATCCTTATTAATCTGCAAAACAATTCAATATATAAAAGTAATTAATTCTCGTTGAAAGAAAAAAAAAAATACTAGTAATCTAAACATTTCAATATTTCACTTTAGCTCTTCATGTTCAAAAAAAAAAAAAAAAAAGTATTCAAACACCATTGGAATCTATTTGGAATTCAAAAGATTTTTGCAACAAAAATCAGTGTCAATGGTTAGCCAACTTTAATTCAAAACTCAAGTTATATATAAACATAAAACTCAAGTTCAAAAGATTTTTGCAACAAAAATCAGTGTCAATGGTTAGCCAATTTTAATTCTTGGAGACTAAGTGGGATCAAAAATAAAATCTTGTGTTGAGTCATGTGAAGAAGAAGAAGAATTTTAATTCTAGCCAATTGTAATTCTTTTTGTGTCAATGGTTAGCCAATTTTAATTCTTGGAGACTAAGTGGGATAAAAAATAAAATCTTCTGTTAAGTCATGTGAAGAAGAAGAAGAAGAATTTTAATTCTAGCCAATTGTAATTCTTTTCAATTCTTTTTAATTCTTGAGAGAAGAAGAAGGAGAAGAAGGAGAGAAGAAGGATGAGAAGATAGATTGTTGAAAATGGTCGGTTTTGTGGTCGTTGACGACAAAGAACACAGACATGTTGGAGCTCGAATTGCCGAGGAGGCCATGATCACATTCACGAATGAATTAAGCATATAATATATTGTCAAGTTAACGAAAACTGTCCCAAAGAGGAAAACTCAAAGGGATAAGATCTCCACCGTTAAACAATCAAGTCTAAGTTCTTTATCTGTCAAAACAGTAAACCAGAACCCATGATTCATTTACCGGACAAGTTGAGGAAAGCAAGAACTTCACAATATTTCAGTTTCCTGGTTAAGTAAGAAGCTTCTTATGGTCCTGTACTACAATAGCAAAACTATGGAAACTTGATCTCAAGTGGAGATATGTACTTCTAAAGAATCCATCCAATGTTTTCCTTTTTTCAAAAAAAAATAAATATGAAAGTGCTACCAAGCAAAGCCGTAAATCGCATCACTTGAATGAAAAAAATTGAAATTGTCATCATACAAATTTAAAACACCAGCCAAACAACAACAGAAATGAAAAATCATAGGGAATGTCTATGGTATATAAACTGGGAGATGACGTCGTCGCCGGAAAACGCCATTAGAGAAGCTCGAAGGAGAAACGCAGAGGGTCGGGAGCCATCGAAGGTGAGTGAAGAGATGGGTAAAATAACACGCTCACTTGCAAGAAACAATACAATACGAGTTAATACGGCCGATTTTATTTTTTTATTTTTTTGGGTATTATACAATGCTGAGTGTATTGTATTAAATTAACATATGATATTATTTTATACAATGCAAAAAAAACATTAAACATTATATTATTTTAAAATAACACAATACGGAAAGGATGTTTAGTAGAGGGATTTGTTCCCTGATTTGAATCATAATTTGTAGTTCGTTACAGTATTTTTCTCACAAAAAATTTAAGTAAATAAAAAATGATTCAAATCACATGGTTTGAATCTTCCAACCAAACGTCCTCCTAGAACATAAACGTGTTCTAAACGGACACCTAAAGACGCCACGGTGCAGAACCCCGACCCACGTGTCTTGCAGTCAAGTCTCTGTCTCATTCGTCCAAAAAATACGACGTCGCCGAGCCTTTCCACCGCCATTTGAATTTTAACAATGGCAGTTTCGGAATTTCACGCATCAGTAATCGGATATGACTGGGCCCATTGTCAAAACCACTCATCAGCTCTCCGGTAAAAATCCGGTGAGCACACCAAGAGAATCAATCACCTTTCTTCCCTGCCACGCCACCGTCTTTCGTTGACTTCATCAATTAGCGCAACTTCAATTCCACGTTTCGTGTTTTAATTGGCTAATGAAATAATCGTATGGTAATTAGAGTAGAATCCGCACAGAGAGTCATTTGTGTAGCGTCTTCTCGGATCAAATAGACGTGGCTTCAAAGCTGCGAATATCCCATTCCTCTCTCTCTCTACTCTCTCTCTCTAAAAGTTTCTCTGAAAATTGCAGTTTGGGAATCGGCGTGGAATGAGGAGGCGGTGAGACTGATCGCCGGCCGACGATCGGAAAATGTTGGAGGATCAGGTGGCGTACCTGTTGCAGAGGTACCTTGGGAATTACGTCAGAGGACTCAACAAAGAAGCCCTCAAGATCAGCGTTTGGCAAGGTTCTCTTTCTCTCTCTAAACTCTTTCGCGTTTTTTTTTTTGGTTGATTTTGCGATTGAAATGGTTTGGATTTCGTTTATTGTGTTTGGAAATGCGAACTTCGAACTTAGTTTTTTTACGCGACTGGAGTAGATAGTGTGGCGGGATTTCGGATTCGAAGTGTTTCTGATTTCGGAAGTGGAAGTTAGTTGTTTTGCGATTGAAATATTTCGCACTCGAAACGTTTCTTATGGAATTTTTAAAGCTCTTGGGAGCATTCTATATATAGTTTGATGAGTTCAAGGATTAAGTATTAGCTTTTCTGCCAATGAAGATGAAGCAACAAATGTAGATACAGTTTGACTTGATATTTTGAGAGTTGATGTGTGGATTGATGTATCGATTTCTATGGAAAGAAATACAGAGATTTACGTATACGTGCAGGCACACTACTTAACTTAGTAATGTACTTAAGTCTTTATTATGTATCATTTTTTGTTGTTGATGAAGTTATGGCGGAATTTCGGATTCAAAATGCTTCTGATTTCGGAAGTGAAATTTAGTTGTTTTGCGATTTGACAAAAAGCAGTTTGAATTCAGTAGTGTGATAGATTTGGCACTCGAAATATTTCGTATGGTACTATCGATTTTGCACTAGAGCCATTTTTTACGATGGGATTTTAGTGGTGGTACTGTGAAAGAGCTGTTGATTGTTAATAAAACAAGATTCGAGCTAGATTTGCAGAGTGAGAGTTAGGAGTAGTTGGTGGCAGTTATAATTAGAAAAATGGAGTGTTGCGAGATGGGTATTTTTTAGGTTCTTGGGAGCATTCTAGTCAGTTTAATAAGTTTAAGGATTAAGTATTAGCTTTTCTGCCAATGAAGATGGGGGCAACAAATGTAGATATAACTTGAATTGATATTTTGAGAGTTGTTGTGTGGATTGATTCATAGAAAATATTTTCGGAGTAGTTCTATGTAAAGAAACATAGAGATTTAAGTATTTGTGCAGGCACACTAAACATAGTAGTGAACTTAAGTCTTTATCATGTATCGCTTTTTTGTTTTTTTGTTTATTTTTTCTTTTGATGAAGTTGTGTTTCTATTTCTGTTACCTGGCTGGAAAACAGGTGATGTGGAGCTAACAAACATGCAGCTGAAGCCGGAGGCACTTAATGCATTAAAGTTGCCTGTGAAGGTTAAGGCTGGATTTCTTGGCTCAGTGAAACTTAAGGTATGTTGGGTTTGTATCCATTTTAGGTTCATAAGTTGGTAGTATGTTTTGTTGAAGTTGTTTTGGTCTTGATTGTTGAGAAATTTGACTCCATACCTTTTTGTTTCTTCCTGTTTGGTTTTTAAATCGTTTTCTTTATTTTATTCTTTCCTCGTTTAATGAATTTCCGTTATTATGAAAAAAATTGACTGAGTAGATAGCATTACAGAAATAAGTTCCTGTATATATTGATTTTCTTGCTTATTCAGGCGTAACTTTGTGTTTCTTGGAGTTATAGACAATGAAATAAACTTTCCTGAGTAGCAGATGGAAAATAGATTTTCTCTTGTGGGATTTTCTAATTACAACGATTAACTCTATAATTAGGTGGAAAGTTTTAGGTTGAATAACATTCTTAAAAAAAAAAAAAATAACGTTCTTTGTGATACTAGCTACTATCACATTTTGCTGAGAAAGTGTTTTGTGATATTTTGAAAAAACAAAAAGGTTCCATGGAGCAGGCTCGGTCAAGATCCGGTTCTAGTTCATCTGGATCGCATTTTTTTATTAGCTGAACCTGCAACACAAGTTGAAGGGTCTAGTGAGGATGCCATCCAGGAAGCTAAGAAAAACAGAGTGCGGGTAAGACGATGTATTGATATGAATATAGACTCATGCATTTAGACCTTTAAATAACCCTTTAAATATCTTTTCTTGGAATAGGAAATGGAAATGAAGCTTGTTGAAAGGGCTCAACAATTGAATTCTGAAGTGGTATGATCCGACATAATTTTCTTGTCAATGTATTTTAAACTAGAATATTGTGCATCTATGTTTGGATAGTTTGTGGTGACTCTTTGTGACATGCAGATATATGACGCGCTTGCGCGCGCGCGCGCACACACTCCATATTATTTAGTTCATCGTTTGATAAGCATAAAGCGAATAACATTGATTAGTAGAGAATAGAAATATCGCATGATGTCACAGAGTACAAAGTATCGATATACATTCCATATGACTATACATGTATAAGGGTATGAAGTATAATAACATTATTTTCGCTCGAATACTAGTCGAAACAAAAAGGAAAACTGAAAAGTATTATTTAACTTGATAGAAAATAAGGAGGAAAAAAAGAAAATAGAAACGTAATTGTTCTGTTCCCTGCCTTCTCCAATATATTTGCACTAATGTTTTCTCCTCAACGGTGTCTTTTTCCCGTTCCTAGAAAAATGTTTTAGTCGACTGCATTTTGTAAATACATTCCAACTTTGTTTGTACATCCAAGTTGCGAGTGTATGTATATTTTATTCTGATAGGAAAATATACTTTATCGTGAGGTGACCTTGAACTTGTGGTTTCCCTTATTGACCATTTTTGGTTTTTCTTGGCTGATTTGACCAATGTTGTGCATCTCTTTTGGCTGGAATATTGTCATGTATGTGCTCCCTTTTAGTTAAATTGTAAGTTTTTGTACTTTGAACTGATTCTTGAATATTCGGAGACAAGTCTCAGCTCGGATGTGAATTTTCTGTTGGACAGAGTTCAGTATTTGGATGTAATTGCCAAGGAGTGAAGCATTTTCCCTCCCTTAGTTATTTACTTGCGTTGTAACATGTTATTTAGTGTCTTTGTGTTTGTTGCTTTGCTGCGCTGAGGAGCAGCTATTCCATCTTTTTCTTTGTATTATGCTTCTACTTTTTTAATAAAATATTTGTATTTTATCTTATACGAGGAAAAGTCATTATTATAAGCTGTCTTATGTGTGTTTATGTTTTCTTCTTCTGAAGAATACATCATGGTTGGGTTCTCTTATCAGCACAATAGTTGGAAATTTAAAGCTTTCAATTTCAAACATTCACGTCAGATATGAAGATATTGAGAGGTGTGCAAAAGGACAATTTTTTGAAAACTTGTTACTTTCTTTGATCTGTGTCGGAACCTTACATTTTCTATTTTCTAGCAATCCCGGACACCCTTTTGCAGCAGGCATAACCTTGGAGAAACTCAGCGCTGTGACAGTTGATGACAACGGGAAGGAGACTTTTGTTACTGGGGGTGCCCTAGACCGTATACAAAAGGTTCTACTATTGTTCTTCATAGAATCTTACATGATGTAGTAGCAATCATGTTGGTGCTTAACTTGCACTTTCTTTACTTTTAGAATGTCACAACCATATAGTCTGAAAGGCATAATTTTAAAAAACTACCAAATAACTTTTCATCTGTAATCTTTTTTTTTTTCCTCCTGCCATAGGAAGAACCTTTGACTTTCTCGTCACTCCTATTCTGTATCCTAGGAATATTTTGTTTTGACTGCCAGCTAAGGCGAAATGCATATTATCATAATTTTCATTACTTTAAGGATGGTTTCCTTGGGGCATATTTTAGAAACATCATCTGTAGCACTCGGAAACTGAATATTTGAGGGAAAGAAAGAGAACAACTAGTAATATTTTTCCATTACGTATAAATCCATTAATATCTCCTTGTAGTCTTGCTCCTGATATTATGATCCTTTATCTTTCAGTCCGTTGAACTTGACTGCCTTGCACTTTATTTGGATTCTGATATTGTCCCATGGCACCTCAATAAGCCCTGGGAGGATTTGCTTCCTTCAGAGTGGGTTCAGGTAGACAACCTTTAGCATATTCCTGCCATTCCATACATGTAGAGGTGACGTATTCGTAATATGGAACTTCAATTATATCTGTTACTGCTTCAGGTTTTTAGATATGGCACCAAAGATGGAAAACTTACCGACAGACTTGTCAAGAAACACACTTATATTCTGGAACCAGTGACAGGAAATGCAAAGTATGCAAAGCTACGCGTAAACGAATTTGCTGATAGTGGTCAACCTTTACAGAAAGCAGCAGTGAATTTGGATGATGTCACTCTATGTTTACATAAGGTTTAATCATATGCTTCCTCTTTGTGCTACACTACCGAGAGGCATGTTTTGAATGGCCCTGAAAATTTTAGGTATCTTCTGCTTGTAGGATGGATACAGGGATATTTTGAAATTAGCCGATAACTTTGCTGCCTTTAATCAACGCTTGAAATATGCTCATTTTCGTCCACACGTCTCTTTGAAATCTGATCCTCGAGCTTGGTGGAAGTATGCTTACAGAGCTGTTTCTGACCAGGTGAAGAAGGGAAGGTATGTTAATGAGTGTCTCCCCTTTTTGGTCTTTTATTTTATTTTTGGAAGAATTGGTTTTTCCAGTAACTGTTCATGTGCATGATGACTCTTATTAAGAACGCTGTTAACGGCAAATAAACTTTCCAACAAATAAAACAAGGCGAGGAATTTTTATGTTAGTAGCTTTTAATTGTAGTCAATGATATCTTACTCTTCTAAATAGTTTAAAATCAGATTTTTAATATCGGAAATGGCACGATTCAGAGTTCTGCAAAACCTTTTGCGAGTAATTTTGTATTCATATCTTCTTACATCATATTTCTGATAGTGGAAAATTGCCATGGGAGCAAGTTTTGAGGTATGCAAAATTACGTAAAGAATATATCCCTCTTTATGCTTCACTACTTAAATCTGAGCCCGGTCGGCTAACAATCGATGACAATGAAGACATTGAGAAGATGGATCGTGAACTTGATATTGAACTCATACTTCAGTGGAGGTAATTTGTTTCCATCATAAATGTATATTATTAATTTGTGATGATTCTTTTTTTTTTTTTTGAGGGAATGACGAATATTCAGTTTACGTTATCCATTATTTTTTGGCCAATCTTGGCATCTTAAGCCGTCTTCAGCTTTAATACCCAAGTACATACATACACATGTGGTTGCATGCATACGTATAGATGCAAATATAGAACATAAGCGTACCCACATATCATAAGTATGAAAGGTACATGAATAGGCCAATGTATTCTAGCAGAGTTAGCACAATATGTGGATCCAATGGGTAGTCTTTTTGTCAAAGTATTTTTATTGAGTGCGATATTCTGCAGGACGCTGGCTCACAAGTTTGTGGAGGAGTCAGCAGAATCAGACGTCCAGTCAAGGAAAGAGAAAACCAAAAGTTCGTGGTGGTCGTTTGGAAGGTAAAAGCTTTTGCTGCCGTAGCTGTGACTAGTGCAGTAGAACCTATCTTTTTGTACGTTGATTCCCTAGGATTAATGGTCTGACACTTATTCTGCATACTCCTACAGGAATAATCAGTCCCTTAAAGATGAAACCGAGCCATTTCATTTCAGTGAGGAAGATTGGGAACGGCTAAATAAAATCATTGGGTATAAGGAAGGCGATGATAATCAGTCAGTTTTAATAAATGACAAGGTGGATGCTCTTCATACTTCCTTAAATGTTTACATGAAACATAGTGCCACTAAACTTATTGACGGGTCCAACGAGTATCTAGCTGAATTATCATGTGAAGGACTTGATTGCTTCATAAAGCTTTATCCAGAGACAAAAGTTTTTGACGTGAAACTGGGGTCATATAGGTTATCATCACCAAATGGTCTCCTTGCTGAGGTAATGTTTCACATTAGTGTCCGAAACAACATCTTTTAGAAACTTTTAACTTAATTTGCTATTTTTTCCCCATCCCTATGCAGAGTGCAACCACTTATGATTCATTAACTGGAGTTTTCTGCTATAAGCCTTTTGATGTGAAAGTTGATTGGTGCATGGTTGCTAAAGCTTCTCCCTGTTATGTGACTGTATGGTTCTACACTTCTCCTTCATAGTTTTCTTGGTTATACTTCCTTTAATGTGTGCTAGTTCACTGATTACATTCATTGACAGTATATAAAGGACACTATTGACCAAGTTATCAAATTTTTTCAAAGTAGTACTGCCGTCAGTCAGACCCTAGCTTTGGGAACTGCTTCAGCTTTGCAGGTTTCTTTATTTTCTTTATTTTTTTAATAGCTTATGCCAGTTATTTGAAAAATGATTACATAGTTCCTTAGTTCCTTTTGCTGCTAGCCAAGTTTTACTGGAATTGAGTGTCTCAACTCTTGGATTCAATAAGTTTATTGTAGATTGATGTTTGGGATTAATTTATAATATGATTGAAAATATTATGTAAAAATATAAGCCTCTAAAAGCTTAAGCTTTAGGGAGAAATGGACAATTAACATGGTATTGGAGAAGGTCTTGAGTTCTAACCCCTGTAATTGCACTCTTCAAAATTGTCATAATATGTTGAGTCTTTCACATATTACGGGCTTATAATTTAATATTCCTGTGTTGAGCCTGTCTAATTGATATTTGCCCACATGATTCCTCCTTGTCTGGCCCACATGTGAGGGGGAGTGTTGGAACATAGAACTAATGTTGGCCTACCTCCTAATAGCTTAAGCTTTTGGGAGAATTGGAACTAACATATTGGTATATAAATAACCGTAGCAAATGTTAGGAGAATTTAGGTGTAACCTTACAGCAATTTTTTAATTAAAAAAATGAAAAATGAAAAACAACACGTCTTTTTGGACTGTACTGCGTTTTGAGAATTTTACTTGTATACCTTGATGGAAGTTTCTTCAGTCACCTACTAGTCTCTTCCATGTTAGTTGAGCTGGATTAATACTGTGAAACGAAATTAAGATCATTAGAATTTTAAATGATCAAGGTAAACACTAACCTGCGTCTTATATCATAGATGTGTTCAAATTGGAGTACTTTCGCAAGAATTTCAATTAGAGATGGGATCGTAGTTCTTAATATATTTTGATTTCAAGTCTCATTTTGCAGCATCACTACCTAGACGTCTATTAGCCGCTTGGTCTGGTCCAGCAAGTTATGCTTTAGAAATTTACTGATTTCAGTTAATGCTCTTCTGACTTTCTTCATTATTCACATTCTTTATTTCCTAGACGACGATAGATGGAGTAAAGCGTACTGCTCAGCAACAAGTGAACAAAGCATTGAAAGACCAATCCAGGTATTTATGTCGTCTTGGGTGTACGTCCTTTGGTGGGAAATTTTTGTGAAATTGATACTGCTTTGTTTTTCTATGTAATCTCCATGATGACTTTTCTTCTGTTGCCCTTTTGCTAGGTTTCTCTTGGACTTTGATATTGCTGCTCCCAAGATCACAATTCCAACTGATTTTTGTCCTGACAATAAGCATTCGACAAAACTTATGCTTGACTTGGGAAATTTGGTGATTCGTACAAAGGTCATTGCAGATAGCAATATTTTTACTATTAAGTGTGAAATTGTTAAATGTCAAGTGCTATAAAAATTGTAAAATGTTTGCAGGATGACTTTGAATCATCCAAGGAGTTGGACATGTATTTGCAGTTCAATTTTGTTTTAAGGGATGTATCTGCTTTTCTGGTTGATGGAGACTATCATTGGAGCCAAATTGCTGCAAATAAATCTGCTCCTGCCCACTTAAATTATGCTATTTTGTTGCCTGTTATTGATAACTGTGGCGTAACGTTAAAGGTTGAACAGGTATAACTTGAATTTATTTATTTATTTATTATTATTAATAATAATATTATTATTGTTATTTATTTATTTTTTTTACGCTGTGTGCTTTTCTTTTGTTTGGTTCTTTAGTTTGAATTGACTTCGCTAAATAGCCTGTTATCATGTCATCTTATTCAGATTCGACTAGAGAATCCATCCTACCCTTCAACAAGGCTTGCAATACAAGTACCATCATTAGGGTTTCATTTTTCTCCAGCACGATATCATCGGTTGATGCAAATAGCAAAGTTATTTCAGGATGAGGATAGTGAGAACTCAGATTTCGTTCGACCTTGGAATCAGGCTGATTTTGAGGGGTGGCTGTCTCTTCTTACTCGCAAGGTCGCGCACTCTCTTTCTCTCTATCCTCTTCGTCTTTTTTTTTTTGGTGCCATGGTAGATTTTTGTGATAGTGCTCTGTATTATTCTAATGATATTGATCATTATCATTTTCTTTTCTTTTTAAATTTCATATGACAGGGTGTGGGAAATAGAGAGGCAGTGTGGCAGCGGCGATATCTTTGCCTAGTCGGGCCTTTCCTCTATGTTCTCGAGAACCCTGGCTCTAAAACATACAAGCAATATATCAGGTTTTAATGCCAAATTGATCTAGTATCTACTTTGCAGCATCTAATACAATTTGTGATGATTTAGTGTTTTTTAGTTTCCAAGAAATTCCACCTTAGCTGACTTGTGAAATACGCTCTGTTGGCTTTTTGTACTTGTCAAAATATATAGGGAAATCATAGCTAATACCATAGTTTTGAATCTTTATGGTAGTAAATAGCGTATTTACTACAATCATCAATTTCCATTTACTTGGTCATGTAACATTATTGTTGAAAGTTCCAAAAGGGGTTTTATGCTAAAGCATGCTGGCAGTTTCTAAAAGTGCGCCTGTCAATTGAATAGTATTTTCACCAAGATACAAACAACAGAGAATTTGGGAACTTTTATTAGTATTTGGGTGGCTACTGCCGACTAATATTTGTATGATATGCTTTTACAGCTTACGTGGAAAGCATATATCTCGAGTTCTGCCAGAGATTGTTGGTGGTGCAGATCATGTACTGGTTGTTTGTGATAGTGCACGTCCAGACGGCAAGGTTCTTGCTGCATTTTCATAATCCAAGATCGCCTACTAAATTGTCCTTTAATGTTGAGAGTGTTTGATTTGACTTTATTACTTCCAAATAGGTTGTTGAGGATGCAAATGCGTTGATACTGCGATGTGATTCTGATGATTCAAGTAGGACTTGGCAGAGTCGTTTGCAAGCGGCCATCTATCGTGCATCGGTAAGTGGTAACCCTTTATGAAGTTCTATTTGTTAAATTTTTTAATTTATATCATATACTGGTTTTATCCTTCATACAATGTGTCAAGACCCTTAAAATCAGACAGGGGAGGTGCTAAGTCTGGTATTACCTTGAATCATTTCTTGGTTTTAGGGATTGACATCTTTTTATGGTTTTTGTGTTTTCTTTTAGACTGTTAGTTTCATTGACTTCCCGTCCTTATGAAGTAGTGTGTAAATCCTGGATATCTAACTTCTAAATTTAATTTTAAAGAGAGAATGGGCCACAAGTATGTTTCATGTAAGAAATTTTGCTTTTACTATGTTAATTGACTTTTCCAAAATTCTTTGAACAATATGTTTTTGGATAGAGGGAAAAAAGTATAAGAGAGGATAGAGGATTATAGGCAGGAAAGGGGATAGGCTCATTTTCCATTGCTTGCTTTAAATATAGAATAAGTTCTTGTCATCCTTCTGAAACTCTCATATTGAAAATCCTACATAACTGATTATGTTCTCCATCAGATTCGAAAGGATTAGATTAGTAAACATGCTTTCATTTTCCTGAATCTCGTCACGTGCCATAGTTATCTTTCTAAAATGGAAAGTCAAGTGTGCACGTGTGTGTGTGTGTGTGTTTATGTATTTATATAGTTCCTCTGTCTGATAGGTAAATACAAATTTATTGAGACAACACCAATAGGGTTGTCTCCCAAATACAAGATCTTATCCAAAATAAAAGAGAATTCTAAAATCTGGATACAGTAGCCTTCTATTTTATTATTATTATTATTTTTTCTCGTAAGAAACAAAGGTCCCTTGATAAAAAGAGAATTACAAAGAAAACCGAGAATACAAAGTGTCAACAATATCTAAAAAAGATTAACAATTTGAGTGAAGAAAGTATATACATAACATTTGATACCAAAAGAATGTACGTCACGAGTCCTGTTCAAAGCTTTATGTTTAAGTTTAGGAGAACTGAACGAGTTGGATTGTCAGCATTGGTCTGAAATAAATGGTTAGTTTATAGGAGGACATAATATTCTCTCCTTTTGATTCTTTCTTAATTTTTATGGATTTAACTAGCTCATTACTATCATTAGCATTGTTGATAAAAGACGGTGTAGGTTTCTAGGGCAGAAAAATTGTATATTGCTCTATTAAAAACTGTATATTGCTCTATTAAAAACTGTACAACATTTACACGGCTTTTATAGGGAAAACATACTACCTAATTAGGTATAGAAATCCCTCAATTAAAGGAGATCCTTATTTTAAGGAATCTCTTTTATTTAAAAAATAAACTACTTTCCTAATCTATCTCACAACCCCTAAATTGACCGGTTTGAATGAGAAACAAGGTCAAACACTCTACTTTCCTTATTTTGACACTCTCCCGCAAGTTGGTGCACAAATATTTATCATGCCCAACTTGCTAATAAGAAACTCAAAGCTTGATCTGAATAATCCCTTTGTGAGAATATCAGCCACTTGTTGCGATGTTGGGATATCTTTTCTTTTATAAAATGTCTGTCAATCTTAACATGTTTAGTTCTATCATGTTGGACTGGGTTATGGGCAATGCTAATGGCTGCCTTGTTATCACAGTACAACTTCATAGGCATAGTTACTGGTCTTCAGTTCCTCCAAGATCCTTTTAAGCCATAAGATTTCACAAATTCCATGTGCCATTTATCTATACTCTGCTTCAGTACTACTACAAGCCACAAAATTTTGCTTCTTGCTTTGCCAAGTTACTAAGTTTCCCCACACAAATGTACAGTAGCCTGATGTAGACCTCTTATCTGAAATAAACCCTGCCCAATTTGCATCTGTGTAGGCCTCGACACCTTGCTGCTCGTTCTTTCCAAAAAATAAGCCTTTTCCTGGAGAGTTTTTCAAGTATCTAAGGATACGGTAGACTGCTTCAAGATGTTCTTTACGAGGAGCATGCATAAATTGACTTACTAAGCTCACGGCAAACGCTATGTATGGCCGTGTATGTCACAAGTAAATCAATTTCCCCACTAGCTTCTGATATCGAGTTGTATCCACCAGTTTTCCTTCCTTGCTTCCAAACTCATGATTCGGATCAATTGGTGTTTCGGCAGGATGACATCCACCCATTCTAGTTTCTTTAAGTAAGTCCACCACATATTTCCTCTGAGACACTGCAATTCCCCTTTTTGACCAAGCTACCTCCATACCAAGAAAATACTTTAGTGAACCCAGATCTTTGATTTCAAACTCAGAGGTTGGGCACTGCTTTAACTGCTCCATTTCAATCGTGTCATCCCCAGTTAGGATAATGTCATCAACATAAACTATATGAACAACTATCTTCCCACCTGTCGAATGCCTTGTGAACATGGTGTGGTCTGCCTGTCCCTGAGCATATCCTTGTTTTTTCGCAAACTGAGTGAACCTCTCAAACCAAGCTCTCGGTGACTGTTTTAAGCCGTACAAGGATTTTTTTTTAGTTTGCATACCTTTGAGCCAAATTTCTCCTCAAAACCTGGAGGTGGATCTATGTAGACTTCTTCTTCTAAGTCGCCATTGGGAAATGCATTCTTCACATCTAGTTGTTGAAGTGGCCAGTCTAGATCAGCTGCAATTGTTAAAAGCACTCTGACAGTAGTTAGTTTTGCCACAGGTGCAAAGGTCTCAAGGTAGTCAATACCATACGTTTGAGTGAACCCTTTAGCTACTAGGCGAGCCTTGTATCTTTTTAAGGATCCATCGGATTTGAACTTGGTTGTAAACACCCATCTGCAGCCAACTGTCTTATTTTCCTTAGGCAGCTCCATTACTTGCCACGTTCCATTTTTTTCAAGAGTCCTCATTTCCTCAAGAATAGCTTCTTTCCATTCAGGAATTTCAAGAGCATCCGGCACATTCTTTGGAATCTCCACACTAGACAATTGTGAGACAAACGTAGAAAACACCGGGGACAGATTTTTATAGGTAACAAAATTGGACATTGGATATTTGACACAACTTCTGACACCTTTACATTGAGAAATTGGAAGGTCAAGCTCATACACAGGTTCAGACTGACTAGACTCTTGATGTGGAAGATTTATGTGAGTGGGGGCTATATGAGAATTACTTGGAACATCAATGGAGTTTTGAATGATCTGAGGTGTAGACTCTTGGCAGTGTTGGGAGGTGTCAGTCTTATTCCCTTGATTCCGGTTCCTTCTCGAGTAGACAAGTTGCTTTTTTGTACCTGTTTGTTCATCATTTCCATATCTACTAATATCATGAGATGCGTCTATAGTTCCAGCATCCAAGTTCTCATTAGTCAAGTCACTAGGTTCCGCATTTATTAAGAAATTTGGACTTTGAACATTATCAGTGGTGTCAAGGAAATCAAGGAAATCAGAATAATCTTCACTTCGGCTCTCCCCCTGAAGATGATTATCAAAAAATGGTTGATGTTAAAAAAATGTGACTTCTAATGTAACAAACATTCTTTTTGTTCTCAGATCATAGCACTTATACCCCTTTTGATTTGGAGTATAGTGTTAGCGGATGTGGTTAGATTATCCATGTATTTTGGGGTTGTAATGCTGTTGTATTTGTTAGCTTTTTTATATCCTTGTTTTTAGGAAGTTAGGTGGTTAGTTAGACTCGTTCTCCTAGGCTATATAAAGAGTATTTCTCCTGTAAAGTAATGAAGTTTTCTGATTAATAATAGCAGTGTTCAGATTGTTTTTCTCCTCCATTTAGCTTTTATATAGCCTACAAAAACACACTTCCTAGGTCCAGGGTCTAATTTTCTATGGTTTTGGTCATGTATATGGATAATGCACTACAACCAAATACTTTCAGAGGTAAATCAGATATCAATCTTGAAGTAGGAAATGCATCTTTAAAGGTATTAAGAGGCGTTTTAAAGTTCAAGATTTTTGTAGGCATGCGGTTTATAAGGTATGTTGCAGTTAAAAGTGATTCTCCCCAAAGATGCTTAGGGACATGATGAGTAAATAGCAATGCCCTAGTCACTTCTAAGAGATGTTTGTTTTTACGTTCAGCTATCCCATTTTGTTGGGGTGTATCTGGACATGTGCTTTGATGTATTATCCCCTTTTTTGAAAAAAAAACCCCCTAGGACTTCATTAAAGTATTCTCTTCCATTATCACTTATGAACAACTTGATTGTTTCCTGAAACTGTCTCAACCATTGTATAAAACACTTTAAAAATCTCTTTTACCTCAGATTTATCCTTTAGTAAGTAAACCCAACGAAGCCGTGTGTGATCATCAATAAAACTAACGAACCATTTTTTTTTCAAACATTGTTGTGACTCTGGATGGGCCCCAGACATCACTATGAATTAACATAAATGGTTTTGAAGCTTGATATGGTCTTGAAGGGAAAAAAGAGTGATGATGTTTTGCCAATTCACATATTTCACATTGAAAAGAAGATGGACTTTTATTTCGAAATAAATCAGGTAACAAGTGTTTTAAGTAATAAAAACTTGGATGTCCTAGTCTATAATGCCAAAGCATAACATTATTAGAAACAAAAATAGAGTTCAAACAAGTATTTTGAACTTGCTGTCTAGAGTTGGTTCCATCTTCAAGGAAATAGAGTCCTCCACTTTCCTTAGCACTGCCAATCATCCTCCCCGATACCATTTCCTGAAACTCACACCGAGAGGAGTCAAAAACAACACGACAATTGAGAGTATTAGTAATTTTACTAATTGACACAAGATTACAAGAAAGGTTAGGAACATGAAGGACATCATGTAGGATTATAGAGGGATTTATCTTGACAGTTCCTATTCCAGCAACTGCCGAGAAGGAGCCATTAACGATTCTAATCTTTTTATTTCCTTCACATGGAGTATAGGTGGAAAAAAAACTGGGAACAACCTGTCATGTGGTCAGTAGCCCCTGAATCTATGATCCAGAAGCTGTTTTGACTAGGGCTGCTGCTAGAAAAAACCGAGACAGGGACTGAGACAGGTTTACCTGTTTGGACAAAGGTACATGAAGGATTTGATGGGTTTACTCAGATTTGAGGAGATTGGAGAAGTTTGTGCAATTGCTCTAGTTGATCCTTTGTGAAAGGAAGCACTTCTGGAGTACTTTGCTGCCCATGTTCTTCACTGGATACTTGGAGTGCACGGTTGTCTGGAGCATTCTTCTTCTTCCAATTCGGAGGCTTCCTATGGAGTTTCTAGCAATTTTCACGTGTGTGCCAATGTTTTTTGCTGTGATCGCACCCAGGTTTCTTCTTCCTGTCATTCTTCGATTCATTCTTTGAAACAAAGGCAGAACTGTTAGTGGTTGGTCTCATATCCGAATCTATTTTCAGCATAACCTCCCTCCTAGTCTCTTCTCTCCTAATCTCAGAAAAGGCCTCTCGAAGTGTAGGCAATGGTTTTTTTTCCAAGAATCCTAGACCTAACCTCATCAAAGTCCTGGTTTAGGCTCGCTAAGAAAAGATACCCTCGGTCATTCTCTTCTTTTTTCATAAACCTTACACTATCGGTTGGACAATCCCATTCATCATTGTAGCATTGATCTAATTCTTGCCACAGAGAAACCATCTCATTATGAAAGACAGTCACTTCACATTCACCTTGTCTAGCCTTCCACAACTTAATTTTCAATTCAAAAATTTGTGAAAAGTTTTCAGCATGGGAATAGGTCTCCCTAACCGCCTCCCAAACATCTCTAGCGGTGGGGAGAAAAAGGTATGGTTTACCTATTGTTGGCTCCATGGAATTGATCAACCAGGCGATGACCAAAGAATTCTCGGATCTCCATGCATTCAGCTTCGGATCTCCAACCTTAGGTCTCTCCGCGTCTCCAGTCAAATAACCTAGCTTTCCCTTGCCGTCGATAGCCAGCTTCATGGATTGCGCCTATTCCAAGTAGTTCTTCCCATTTAATTTGTGGAGGGTTAGTTGGAACGAATTATGAGAGGAATCCCCCCCGTGATTCATGGTGGTTCTGTATGGTTCACCAGAGTTAGAGCTCACTGCCTTAGATGAAGCCGAGGATCTCCTTTCCTCAATAGCTGCCGTTTCAGCCATCAAGGAGAGGACGGCTCTGATACCATGTAGGTTTCTAGGGCAGAAAAATTGTATATTGCTCTGTGGAAAACTGTACAACATTTACACGGCTTTAGGGAAAACATACTACCTAATTAGGTATGGAAATCCCTCAATTAAAGGAGATCCTTATTTTAAGGAATCTCTTTTATTTAAAAAAATAAACTACTTTCCTAATCTATCTCACAACCCCTAAATTGACCGGTTTGAATGAGAAACAAGGTCAAACACTCTACTTTCCTTATTTCAACAGACGGAAATGGTAGCAAAAATCATCATCAACATTGATGAAGCGCCCTTTTTTATTTGTTATTTATATTTTAATCTTACTAAGAGCTATAGGAAACAAGGAGAGTATTGAAAAGCACCGATTAGTGCTCTGGAGAAAGTTTTACTATGCTACAATGTAAAATTAAATTAACGAGTTAGTTTCTTCAGTTGTGTAGAAGCCACTTGAAAAACAACTACTTTAAGAAGGTTAGTTTGCTAGTGAATTCTAGTGTTTGACGAATCAACCTTTGATGATAATCTCATCCATACTGTGGTTGGCCAGAACTTTGTTGTCCTACAAGGAAAATGAATAAGAAAGCTCTTATCGAGGTTTACATGCAGGGTTCTGCTCCTTTAACTAGTCTATCGGAAACTTCATCAGATGCTGTTGATTTAGAATTTGAGCTTAATGACAACACTGATGCACTCAATCTATTAGCAATGGAGAGAATTTTTATTACTGGCGTTCTTGATGAATTGAAGGTCTGCTTCAGTTATAGTCACCAGGTAACCCTAAACTGCATATTGATATAAGTTACTTTGCAGTGGAGTGGACAATTCTGACTGATGAACTACTCTCTTGTAGCGTGATTGCAGCTTTTTGAAGGTGCTCCTAGCTGAAGAGAGTCGCTTATTTGAATTTCGAGCTATTGGTGGTCAGGTGAGAATTGTTCAATTGCATCTGTATTAAATGTTATGTTTCCTACTCTTGATGATTTATATTTTGGATAACAGGTTGAGGTATCACTAAGAGAGAATGACATGTTCATTGGCACAGTCTTGAAATCTTTGGAGATTGAAGATTTAGTTTCCTGTAGCAGTGTATCTCGACCATGTTATGTTGCTAGATCATTTATTGGAAGTACGGATGCTTCAACCTTTGATGATGCTAGGAATCAGAGTTTTGAAAACAATGATGCAGGGACAAGTGAGGGGGACGATAAGTTCTATGAGGCACCAGAGAATTTGGCCGATTCTTCTGATTATCCAATGCAATCACCAAGAACAATCTCAGGGAATCTGAGTGACCAAAAGTTGCTTAGATCTGAAAGTTTATTTTCTAAGCTGCCCAGTTTTACCCATATTCGGGGTCTACTCCCGAGAGATGTCCTTCAAACAACCAAGGAGGATGTTGATCACACTGATACACTGGACAGTTTTGTGAAAGCTCAAATAGTCATCTGCGATCAAAACTCCCCTAGATATAATAACATAGATACACAGGTTCGCGTGTTCCTTACTATTAAATTCTTGTCTTGCTCAACACAGATAGTTGACTAGTTATTTCACAAATTATCATTTCAGGTCACTGTCACCCTTGCTACCTTGTCATTTTTCTGTCGTAGACCCACAATACTTGCCATTATGGAATTTGTTAATTCCATTAACATGGATGATGAAGGCTGTGAATCTTTCAGTGACAATTCTTCTGGAGCAGTAGTTAAACATGGCATCTCTAAAGACAATGTGGTTGACGATCAACTGTCAACAACTACTCAGTATGATGTTGTTAAAGGTTTGCTTGGAAAAGGGAAGTCTAGAGTAGTATTTAATATTACACTGAATATGAACCGTGCTCAGATTTTATTAATGAATGAAGATGGAACCAAACTTGCAAGTCTTTCACAAGATAATTTGCAAACAGATATCAAGGTTTGGTTATCAATATTGCTCTTGTATTATTCCAAGATTTTCCTTTTGTTATAGAATTTATCCAGCTGATTCTTATTGCGTTTATCTGTGTTTAAGGTGTTCCCATCCTCTTTCAGCATTAAGGCATCCCTGGGTAATCTTAGAATTAGTGACGACAGTCTTCCAGATGATCATATGTATTTTTGGGCTTGTGATATGAGAAATCCTGGGGGCAGTTCATTTGTTGAGGTACTCTCTCTCTCTCTCTCTCCATTGAGCAAGCAAGAGGAGACTCAAATTTATGGAAATGCTGTCAAGTTTGCAAGAATCAGTTTTGAAAGCTTCTGATTGTATTGATTCACCATAATGGTACATCTATCGATACAATATCAGCCTTGCTAAAAAGGGAAACTATAATTATAATAAAGAGGAAATATTCTTGACAACTATGACTAATCTAAACCAGGAAAGAAAATAAAATCAACTCTATATGACCAGATATGATCCACACACATTCACAGATTCTTACAGATTCATCTCCTCGAACTACGTCACTTACTTTAAAACACACTATTCACCCCTTGCGCGAAGAAGCTCCTTTTGTCACATTATCCACTTCTTTGACAAAATTGTTGATGTGATGCTAAACGTGAAAGATGAAACTTATTTGAGATACAAACACTAATTATCGCTCACAACAACTTAAGATGTGCATCATTTGCTTCAGATATTGGATATGAGCTGTTTCACATCTTGGCTTCTCAAACAATCAATAGTTTTGAACTATGTTCAGAAACACCTGTTTTGAATGCCCATAAATAAAGGGAAGAAGGAAGAGATTAAGGCTGGAACATCTGCTTCGTTTGCAATGGTGCATTGCAGGTACAATGGGAAGATGTATGGCTTTTACAGTATCTGAAGACGTGAAACAGCTCATATCCAATGTCTGAAATTGTATGGCTTTTATAGGATGTGATTACACTATCCACTTCTTTCGTAAAAGGTACATTGCAGGTACAATAAGAAGTTGTATGGCTTTTACAGCGTTTAGTAGTTGTTAGGAAAGGTAGTTGTTAGGAAAGGTAGCTGCAGGTTGCTTCAGGTTCCGATCTATATGACCTCCAGGTGGTACCAAGTACACCTCTTCTGTAAAGGCACGTAATAAACCAAACTTTTAAGAGTTTGTTCAACAGAGGAGCCCTCTCTCTGATCTATTGATGGAAAGATCTCCGTGCATAGCGTGATCCTAGAAATGATCAACTGAGACATCCTATCATGTTTCACAGTGAAATCTATGTATTTGTCCAATTCATAGAAAAGGAGGGCAACTTTGTTTTCATGTGTGAAAGTTAAAGGGTTTATAGTGCATTTGAAGGTTTGGGGAGCAAGATGAAATTTTTGACATAGTTAAGGGTGGATTTATAAAATTGATCCCATGTAAATTTGATGTAGTGCATAATTGGAAATTGTTAGAATATAAGCTATTATTGTCCCACCTCCTAACAGCTTAAGCTTTTGGGAGAATTAGTAAAACTAATATGGTATTAGTGAAAGAGGTCCTGAGTTCAAATCCTTGTTATTGCACTATGAAATTGTCATCATATCCTATAAATAGCACACTTTATGTTAAGTTTAGTTTTTAGAGTTTGATTGATAACTCAATTTTTGGAGTGTATTCTCGGTATTTCTGAAATCAAGGAGTTTTATTTCTATTCCTATTTTTTGGCATTTGTGAGAAAATCAACGGATTAATAGATGTCCTATCGTCCAATAATCCAAGTGAATTAGCAGGTTTTAGAATGATTATCCCTTTTTCCGTGTGCGGCTTTCTCTTGTGCTTCTGTGCTACATCAAAAGTCCTATAAAATTTTGATTTGTAAATATGTTTGATGAGAGAAACTAGAAAAATATCGAATCACATTAGCATAAGTAGTTGTTTTCCCTCGATTCATATTAGTCAAATTACTTAATAATTTCAAGTTTTTAAACGTGGAATGCAATTGCGTATTAATGCTGCAGAAGGCTTAGGAAAGTTTCAGAGTTTTCTGTGCATATCCTTGTATGATGATCTTATTTTATGCTAATGATCATTTGTCTTGATCATTACCATAATTATTTCTTATTCATTTTGTTATCTGACTTTTGACATATAACATGGCAACTGTATCGTCCATCAGATAAGGTGTTATTGTTCATCTTTCATTTTGTTTTCTTGTGTAATTTTTGTTCGATCTATCATGGTAATTTTTCATTCATTCATTATTATGCAGTTGATTTTTACTTCATTCAGTGTTGATGATGAAGACTATAAAGGTTATGACTATAGCCTCTTTGGACAGCTTTCGGAAGTACGCATTGTATATCTGAATCGGTTTATACAGGAGGTAAAACAATCACAGATTTTCTAGTCATATACTTTCTTTGGTTGGTTGGTTATCATGTACTCAAAATGCTATGTAGGTTGTTAGTTACTTTATGGGTCTTGTTCCCAACGATTCAAAAGGAGTGGTCAAACTGAAAGATCAACTTACAAATTCAGAGAAGTGGTTTACAACTAGTGAAATCGAAGGATCACCTGCAGTGAAGTTAGATGTTTCTCTTAGAAAGCCCATAATATTAATGCCTCGAAGAACTGACAGCCTCGAGTAAGTTCATGCTAGAAATTTAAAAGTTTATATATTATCCTTCCACTATTAGCATCATTTTCTAAGTGCTGTATGGATATTTTTCTGTATCAATGTTGTGATAGTACTCTGCATTTCTAAATTGCAGCTATTTGCAGCTTGACATCGTTCACATAACTGTCCAGAATACTTTTGAATGGTGTTTCGGAAGTAAAAGTGAAATTAACGCTGTGCATTTGGATGTATTAACAATTCAGGTAAGATGTTCTACAATTACTGTCTCTTTTGATATGAGAAGGTTATGAAAGACCATGTCTCTTTTGACATGAGGAGGTTATGAAAGGCTTTATTGTGTCAAGTACTTCTCACGTAAGCCAGTATCAAAGATTGTGCCCAAGAGAGTATATAAGCCAGTATTGAAGTGTCAAAACTATGTTCCATGAGTAGATAAGGCCAAACTACTGGGGTAGCTTCTAGTAGTTGGTTCTCTCTCTCTCTCTCTCTCTCTCTCTCTCTCTCTCTCTCTCTCTCTCTCTCTCTCTCTCTCTCTCGACTATGTAAAGCATTATTCTTATAGATAGAAAAAAATAAAAGGAGAGAGTATATAAGCCTTAAGGCTTTATTGTGTGAAGTACTTCTCTCGTAAGCCAGTGTCAAAGATTGTGCCCAAGAGATAGGCCAGTATTGAAGTGTCAAAACTATGTTCCATGAGTAGATAAGGCCAAACTACTGGGGTAGCTTCTAGTAATTGGTTCTCTCTCTCTCTCTCTCTCTCTCTCTCTCTCTCTCTCTATGTAAAACATTATTCTTATAGATAGGAAAATAAATAAATAAATAAAAGTAGAGAGTATGTAAGCCTTAAGCATCATTCTTATTGAAAAAGAAAAGAGCTCATAAGCCTTCTACTGCTGCATCAGCTTTGCTTACAGAATAATTTCTAATATAACGTAACATTCTTCAGTCAGACATTCTTGTACTTTATTACTGCTATAAAATTCTCTACATCTCTGGCATGCTGCAACTGAGTATAATTGAATTGGCTTTTGCTATACAAATCTTCTAATCTCACTTTATCTGTATGCCTTTTTAATCATCTTCATTTTGGGGGTGTAGGTTGAGGACATCCATTTGAATGTTGGTACTGGTACCGATGTAGGTGAAAGCATAATTCAAGACGTTAAGGGGATCTCTATTGTGATTCAGAGATCACTTCGAGATTTGTTGCATCAAATACCAAACACTGAAATTAAAATCCAGGTAGTGCATTTCACATTTTGCATTCATTTAGCTGAAATCTGAAGCAAGGAGCTTGTTCCTTCTCTGCGATTTTCATTCTCAGGAATTATTTCATGTCGACATACATTATGCATGTGATAAATAAAGTATCACAAAGGAAAACAGCTTGTTCTTGGTTGTAGGACTACCAGCATAAAACAAAAAAGAGGAAAAAACTGGAAAAACAATTACATGAACTCATTACGTACCTAACGCTTGCCTAGAAATAAAAATTAATACAACCTGAGACTACAAAAGACAAAACTGAACTACATAAAACAAAACAAAAAACTCGTTACATAAAATCATGAAAAAACAACGTAACCTTGAAACATAAATGTTATACAACCCGAGTCTATTAAAGAGAAAACAGAACTATGTTAAATCCTTTCGACAATGTAATAATGGATTTTTCTTTTTTGTTGAACCCTTGCTTCCCAGATAGGAGAACTTAAAGCAGCTCTATCAAACAAGGAATACCAGATTATCACTGAATGTGCAGTGTCTAATATCTCTGAGACTCCACGTGTTGTTCCTCAATTAAACCATGGTTCTACCAGTTCTTCTGCTGATGTAGTAGAAGCAGAAGCTATCATTCCTCAGGATGTGGATGTTCTTTCATCTCAAAAGGCAAATGGGGAAGCCTGGATTGTGACAGAAGTTTATGTAATCATTGGCTTGGTTGAATTGCGATTATATACAACACAGGCAAGAGATGCATCTCTTGCCACGGTGCAGGTATTTATTTTTCCCCACAATTATAAGATTTGAATTGGAACGTTGTTTCCTTTATTTGATTCATTGGAGTTATGGACTTGATCATGTACAACATCTGATTCTTTCCGGTGTTAAACAATTCATTGATTTTTAAGCACCATATCTAATGGATGTGCTCTTTGATACATATTGATTTTTTGATGCATTCTTCCATCTATTGAAATTTCTATCTGTTTCTTTATGTCCGCTTCCCTTTTTTCTTCTTTTTCTTCTTTTTCTTCTTTCTTTCTTTTCTTTTTTCTTTCTTTTTTTTTTGTACACTGTTGTTGCATAATTCATACAGAATAGGAAGTAAAATATATGATGGTTGGACATATCAGTTCATTGAGAACCCATGTTGACCTGAAATAATGGGATTTTGGAAGAAAAATCCGTTTCATTTTTATTTATATCCTACTTCAACTAAAGTAGGAAGACTTTTTCTTTTTTTATTTTAACTTTTCCCTGATGCAAGGGGATGGGGTTTGATTTTAAGTTGAGCGTGTTTGAAAGTGTGCTTTGAAAAAGTAACTGCTGTTTCTTTCTTTTCTTCTTTTTTAATTTTTTTAGAGTGTGATGAAATGATAAATACTTTAGCTTATAAATTTACCGTGCTGCTATGTAGGTTACTGGTGCATGGCTTCTCTACAAGTCTACTTCAGTTGAAGAAGGTTTTCTTTCAGCAACGTTAAAGGGTTTCACTGTGTGTGATGATCGTGAAGGAACTGAACAAGAATTTAGGTTGGCAATAGGAAATCCTGAGAACATTGGTTCTAGTCCTTTACATTCTGTTGCTGGTGATGACGAGTCACATCACAAGGTTGATCAGAATATTGTGAGAGACAATGATGTCAAACTCGTTCCTACAATGCTTATTCTTGATGTGAAGTTTAGCCAGCTTTCAACATTTGTTTCCTTATGCATCCAAAGGCCAAGACTGCTTGTTGCACTTGATTTCCTGCTTGCGGTAGCTGAGTTTTTTGTCCCAACAGTTGGCAATGTATTGTCAAATGAAGAAGACACTACATCTTTTGAAGTAATTGATGCATTGATTTTAGATGTGTTAACTTATAAGCAACCATTTGCTGAAGTCTCTCTCTCTCCTAAACGACCTTTAATAGTTGACGATGAGAGATATGACCATTTTGTTTATGATGGTGGTGGTGGAATAATATATTTAAAAGATAGGCATGGATCCAATCTTACATCACCCAGCATAGAGGCTATAATATATGTAGGCAGTGGGAAAAAGTTGCAATTCAAGAACGTTGTTATCAAGGTATTTCTCTTTACAAGGTTTTTTTGGCTTTATTTTTTATTTTTTATTTTCCACTGTCCTTTATTTCATTTCTGTAAATTTTTGTTGGTGTAGAATGGATTGTACTTGGATTCATGTATATCTCTTGGAAGCAACAGTAGCTATTCGGTCTCAATTGCTGATCATGTCTTCTTGGAGGGTGGCGATGAAGGTTCTTTCCACAACTCTTCAAGGGAACATGTCAATCATGTACCGTCTCAGAGTGTTTCACTTGAGAGATCGGCAGAGCTTATAATTGAGTTGCAGGTTCGCTGTTGATTATGTTAACTTTATATGCTTTCTCATTGAATCTGTGTCCGATTCTTTTCTTGGTTTCTAGAATCCAGTGTTTGGCAGAGTTCTTTAGTTACAGTTGTTATTTGCTTTAGTTGTGATACACACATTATAATAGTGAGAAAGACGTGACTGTTCATACCAGATTGTGAGAAGAAACACTATCTTCTAATAAAATGAGCCAGAATATATATCTTGGAATGCTAAAATGTAAATATGTGTGCCTATTTTTATCTTTTAGGATAGTAGCATTTGGATTTGAGAGCAGTTATAGCCATCAATTGAAAGTTTTTTAGTGTTTACTTGGTGGTTGATAGGTCATAAGAGATTAATACTTGTAATGAAATCCAAAAGACAACCCAAATAGACCAATTACAAGACACTTTTCTAGTTCAAAGGGAAAAGAAGAAAAATGGTATGTTAAAACCCATCAACAGAAGAAGCAAGGAAGATTTGAGTATGAGCTAATACCCACTTGAATCTGGTCTTCTTTTCTTAGTACCTCCTTTTTGTCTCCCTCCCTCCTTCTCGTAGACTCTTTATTTGTGTTTTAATCCATTTATTTTTTCCTCCCCTTGCCCTAGACTCTTTAGTGGGAACAACATTCTATTAGTTGTGGTATTCATTATCAGTGATGACCAACATCAAAAGCCTTGTCCATTTATATTGGAATATAAAACCTAATGTTGTGTGGTGGCAGGCATAGCCTAGTGGTAATTCCACACCTGACTCCACCATAAGGTGATGAGTTTGAATCCCCCACCCCTAAGGTCAAAAAAAAAAAAAAAAAAAAACTTAATGTTGGCTCACCTTCTAACAACTTAAGCTTCTGGCCATAGTAGTAAACTAACATAGTATTGTAGGAGGAGGTCTTTCGTTCAAGCCCCTATACTTATTGTCTCTTGTCATCATGTGTTGGCCATTTTATTTCAGCTTAACTATCCATATTGTTAGTTTATCATTTCTCCCAAAAGCATAAATTGTTAGGAGGTAGACCAAAATTTGCTTTATCTTCTCTTTCTCCCTTTCATGGTGGGCTAGACAATGGACAATTGTGTGGGCAAATATTAATTGCAAGGCCTAACACATGAATATCGAATTACAATTCTGAAATATATTAAAGGCTTACCATGTGATGACAATTTTGGAGAGAGTAATTACAAGAGTTTGAACTCGAGACCTCTTGTTCTAATAAATTGTTAGTTTACTAATTCTCCCAAATACTTAAGCTGATAGGAGGAGAGTCAACTTTAGTTTATATAACACATTTAATACTATAAGCGTGTATTAGGGCAGAAAATTCTTATTATTATCATTTGATTAAATCAATACAGGCCCTATTTATAGGAAAGACAAAGAGACTAGATACCTAAATTATAATCCCTAAAAAATAGCTAAAGAATAAACTTTCCTAAAAAATAAAAACTCCTAAATCAGCCTTTTTATTAAAAAACTGCCGACACTCCCCCTCAAGTTGGTGCATAGATATTTACCATGCCCAACTTGCTTACAAAATACTCAAAATTTTGCCTTAGGAGCCCTTTGGTGAAGACATCTGCAATCTACTGACTAGAGGGCAAGAATGGATCGCAAACAACTCCTTCAAGTTTTTCCTTGATGAAGTGTCTATCAATCTCAACATGTTTAGTTCTATCATGTTGAACTGGATTATTCGCAACATGTTTAATCTCAACATATTACACTTCATAACGTTCTTCACAGGACAACTTTGAAGTAAATACTTGAAATGAAGGGGACAGACTCTTATATGACATGAAGTTATAAAGAGGATGTTTGGTGCACGATCTAGTACCTTTCCTAAGGGCAATGGGTAAATCCACAAATGTATTTGACTTGACAAGAGACTCATGATTAGACGAAATTTTTTGTGGTTCGAACAGAGAATTACCTGACTGAGCTTCATTTTCCAGATTTGTCATCGGTTTAGGCTCTTGGTTCTGCGTTGGATCGAGAAATCTATCTTCCTGTCTTTGATACTTTCTCTTATAGACTTTCCCTTTAAACTCAATTCCACCTTGCCTTGCACACATCTCGTTCTCTTTCCGAGCTTCACTCTGTAATGGCATAGTTAAAGGAACAGTATCCCTATTTTCATTATTTTGAGACATCCTCAATTGTTCCATCTGCTTCAGTATTATCACAATGTTCGGGCCCTTTTTTTCCAGAAACAGTTTCGGGCCCTTTTTTTCTAGAAACAGTTTTAGATTCTCTACTTTTATCAAATTTCTCATTTTGACTCATAGAATGCACAGGGACAACATCATAGAATAACAAGTCATCGTTCGAATCTTCACTTGATGTCTCCCCCTGAAGATGAGTGTTTGAGAAAAAAGGTTTGTTTTCAAAAAAATTAACATCCATGAACACAAAAAACTTCCTTGTGAGTGGATCAAAACATTTGTATCCCTTTTGAGTGGAGGGATACCCAACAAAAACACATTTTCTTGCCCGAGAATCTAATTTGCCCTTGTTGTGGCCATGGATGTGAACAAACGCTGTACACCCAAAAACTTTAAGGGGAAGATCATAAGTGAGACGAGAGGAAGGAAAACATCTCTTAAGGTGCTCCAACGGGGTTTGAAATTTCAAAATTTTTGTAGGCATTCTGTTGATTAAATATGTGGCTGTCAGAATTGCCTCACCCCACAAATATTTTGGAGCTGAAGTGAAAAACATTAAAGACCGAGCAACCTCCAAGAGATGTTTATTCTTCCTCTAGGCAACTCCATTCTATTGTGGAGTATCAGTGCAGGAGCTTTGATGAACAATCCTTTTTTCGGTAAAAAAAATCCCTAAGATCTGGTTAAAATATTCTTTACCATTATCACTTTTGAAAATCTGAATCTGTGTTTGAAATTGGGTTAATATCAAGTTGTAAAAATTTTTAAACACAGTTTCAGCTTCAGACTTGTCATGAAGTAAGAACACCCAAGTAACACGTGTGTGATCATCAATAAAAGTAATGAACCATCTCTTTCCTGTTAATGTTTTAATCCGATATGGCCCCCAAACATCACTATGAATCATAGTAAAGGGTTTAGTGGCTTTATATGGTTGAGTAGAAAAAGAAGTTCGATGATGTTTTGCAAATTCACAAATCTCACACTAAAATAAAGATGGATTTTTATTGATAAAAAGTTTTGGAAACAAGTGTCTTAAATAATGAAAATTGGGATGTCCTAAATGATAATGTCATAACATTATTTCACTCGAATCAAGAACATAAATAGAATTGAGACAAGTCCTCTGGGATTGCCTACTTGAGTCATATCCAGTGTAAAAAAAATAGAGTCCACCAACTTCCTTAGCATTGCCAATCGTCCTCCCCGAAGTCAAATCCTGAAATAGATAGCCAGATGACGAGAAATTAGCGTGACACTTTTGATCATGAATAAATTTACTAACTAAAAGAAGATTACAGGACAATTTAGGAACGTGAAGAACGTTATGAAGTGTAATATTGGACGAGATAACAATAGACCCTTTCCCGGCCACTGCCGAAAAAGTTCCATCTACTATCTTGACTCTTTGATTCCCTGCACATGGACTATAGGAAGAGAAAAAATTAGAGCATCCAGTCATGTGATCTGTAGCACCAGAATCGACTATCCAAGAGACACTTGACTCAACATTAAGACATGAGGACAAAAAATGATTACCCTCTTTTGCCACGAAACCAGAAGGATTAGGATTGACAAGGTTTTGGGATTGGAGGATTTTACAAATCTGCTCTAGCTGTTCCTTCGTGAATGGTTGCACTCCTGAAGAAGACTCCTTCTCTGAATCAGTAACATTAGCTTGGGAATTCCAGTTGTCTCCTGTTTGTTTTTTCTTCCAATTAGCAGGCTTACCATGGATCTTCCAACAAGTCTCACGTGTATTCTTGTAGTAATCACACCACGGTTTCTTGCTACTTCTTCCTTCACCATCACTACTTCTCGACGCAAGAGCCGACCCCTCAGATTCATGTGTAGTCTTCCCAATCATCACTTTCCTTCAAGCCTCTTCTCTACGCACTTCAGAAAACACTTCTCTAAGCGAGGGTAGTGGCTTCCTTCCAAGAATGCGACCACGGACCTCATCTAACTCTTGATTTAGACCAGCAAGGAAATTGTGCACGCGCTCATTCTCTTCTATTTTCTTGTGCTTAACACTATCAGCCGGACACTCCCAGTCATCTTCATAACACAAATCCAATTCTTGCCACAAAGTGACAATATCGTTGTAATATGTAGTAACATCACGGCTGCCTTGCTTGGAACTCCATAGCCTTGTTTTCAACTCAAATATTTGAGATGAATTCTCTAGGTCAGAATACATCTCTCTAACCGCCTCCCAAACATCCTTAGCGGTTGGTAAAAACATGTGTGGTTTGGCGATAGCTGGTTCCATAGAATTGATCAGCCATGTGATAACTAATGAATTTTTAGAATTCCATGTCGCCAACCCAAGATCTCCATTGGCTGGTCTCTCACGTTCTCCCGTTAAATAGCCAAGTTTTCCCCTTCCATCAATGGCTAGCTTCATGGATTGAGCCCACTTTAAAAAATTCTGTCCATTAAGTTTCTGCCCTATCAATTGAAAGGATGAGACAGAGCCGAAAAAATCATGGCTACTGCCACTAGGGATCAGGCCACCACCGCCGCTTCTAGGGTTTCCTCCAGAAAATCGCACCTCCGCTTGCTGCCGATTCTGCGCCGCCCTCAGACACTGTCGTCCCATCTCCGGCGGTCGTGGAAGGCCTCTTTTGGCCAGTCATGGCCTGGCGGTAGTTCATCTATGCCCAGCCGTTTTCTGAACCACGCTCTGATACCATGTAAGCGTGTATTAGGGCTAAAAATTCTTATTATTATCATTTGATTAAATCAGTACAGGCCCTATTTATAGGAAAGACAGAGACTAAATACCTAAATTATACTCCCTAAAAAATAGCTAAAGAATAAACTTTCCTAAAAAATAAAAACTCCTAAATCAGCCTTTTTATTAAAAAACTTGCCGACAAATACTTGCTCTTACGGTTTCCTATTCTCTAGCCCACATGCTTGGAGGAGTGTTGGTATGAACACACACGGGTAGAAAACAGAGAACAGGAAAAACACTGCATAGAATTCTTATTCCCTTATACCTTGAATCAAATACAACCAGCCATTAATTAGGCTCTGAAAAACAGAATAGAAAAGGAAAGAATAAAGCAGAATAATCCTTTCCTAATACAATACGAATAAACCAAGAATATTCCTTGGACTTAAGGAACTACCATAAATAGATCCTAATCAAATTCAATTCGTCCACACTCCCCCTCAAGTTGGGCAGTATAAGTTGTACATGCCCAACTTGTCTACTAATCCAATAAGGGTCTAGACAATCCTTGGTTAAAATATCGGCAGCTTGCTCTGTTGTAGGAACATATGACATATAGACTGTTCCTTCTTCAATCTTCTCCTTGATAAAATGTCGATCCACTTCCACATGTTTAGTCTTGTCATGATGAACAGGATTATGCGAGATATTTATAGCTGCCTTGTTATCACAATAAACACGCAACGGAAGAGTAACTCCAACTTTAAGTTCATCCAACAATATTCTCAGCCACAAAACCTCACAAATTCCATGAGCTACAGATCTTAGTTTTGCTGCGGCACTACTCCTTGCAACAATAGATTGCTTCTTGCTTCTCCACGTTACAAGATTGACCCAAACAAGAGTGCAATACCCTGAAGTGGACCTCCTATCATCAACTGCTCCTGTCCAGTCAGCATCCGTGTATACTTCTACACCTCTTTCATCTCCCTTCTTGAAGAACAAACCTCATCCAGGTGTTCCTTTCAAATATCTCAAGATACGAAACACTGCTTCCAAGTGTTCTTCGGTGGGTGCATGCATGTATTGGCTAACTCGACTAACACTGCTTCCAAGTGTTCATAGCCTCTTGGATATCTCTTGGGATTTCCACACTCACCAAACTGGCTACAAAAGCTTTCATGGAGTCTGTCAGATGATCATATCCAACATAATGTGCCATTGGATGTCTCGTACAAGTCCTTACTCCTTTCCTTAATGAAATTGGGACTCCTAAGTCACTAGTCTCCCTTTCAAGACCTGTCATCGGTTCCGATTCTTGGTGGCAAGGAACTTCCTGGTTTTCTACAGTTTGTTTGTTCTTCTTGCGTACATAAGTTCGATCAAAAAATTGCAAGCCACCCTCTTTGTTTTTATTATGTTCCTGCACTATAGATATCGGAGTTTTTTGGTCATCATGAGGTTGATCTGGGATCTGATCAGAAGGGACAGATTGAGTAAGAATAGGAGAAGTTGATTCGGAGAAGGCTTCAAGATTAATGTCAGGAATATCTTGTGGGTTTATTTTAGAAACGTTGGCTGAATTTTCCTCTTGATTTTCTGGGTTTTGAACAATTTCTTGCGAATTGGAAGGGATAGGACTTTGAGTTTCTAAAGAAGGGGCAAAATCCCAAAAGAATTCCCACACATTTGAATCATTTGAGGTTGAGGTTGAAGTAGGTTTTGATTTTTCCCAAAAATTTTCTTCCCACACTCTCTCCCCCCAAAGGGAATTTTTGGTAAAGAATGGTTGATTTTCAAAGAATGTCACATCCCTAGACACAAAATATTTCCTCTTTTCTACTGAATAGCATCTATACCCTTTTTGAGTCGCAGAGTATCCCAAACAAATGCATTTGTGAGCCCTAGGATCCAACTTCCCACGACGAGGATCTAGGTTGTGTACAAAAGCCACACAACCAAACACTTTTAGATCTAATGAAGATGGAAACCGCGATTGTGGGCATGACTTGTATAGACAATCCAATGGGGTTTGAAATTTTAAGACTCGAGAGGGTACCCTATTAATAAGATAGGTAGCGGTCAAAACTGCATCTCCCCAAAAAACTTTTGGTAAGTTGGCTGCAAACAATAAGGAACGGGCCACTTCTAAAATGTGACGATTTTTCCTTTCAGACACCCCATTATGCTTGAGGTGTACTAACACAAGAACTTTGATGAATTATTCCATTAGTGGTGACAAATTCTCTCAGAGTGTTATTAAAAAACTCAGTCCCATTATCTGTTCTTAAAAATTTACTTTTCCCATCAAATTGGGTTTTAACCATGGAATGGAATTGTTTGAAAATACCCTCAGTCTCAGATTTTTCTTTGAGATAAACCCAACAAATACGTGTATGATCATCAATAAAGGTAATAAACCATTTTTTGTTGGTAATGCTAGAGATGCGAGAAGGTCCCCAAATATCACTATGAATAAGAACAAAAGGTTTAGATGCACGATATGATACTGGAGGAAAAGAGACACGAGTATGTTTTGCTAATTGGCAAATTTCACATTGAAATTTATCTTTATTTTCATACAAGGATGGAAATAAGAACTTCATATAAGGGAAACTGGGATGTCCTAACCTATAGTGCAATAACATAATTTTTTGAATTCTTGAAAGTGAGGTGCTTGCAACCATTTGAGCTTGCCCATGGACACTTGAATAATCCTCAAAGTAGTATAGACCATTTCGTTCCTTAGCACTACCAATCCTCTTCCCCGATGATTGATCCTGAAAAATACAAGCAGATGGAGAAAAGGTCACTTCACAATCTAGATCTTTTGTTAACTTATTGACAAAAGATTGAAATTTAAATTAGGCACGTGAAGAACTTCTTTTAGGATAACATTTTCTCCGAGTTTCACAGGCCCAGTACCAGCCACAACTGAAGAGGTACCATCTGCAATCTGCACCTTGTGATTTCCCGGACTAGGAACATATGATGTGTATAATTTTGCACACCCAGTCATATGATCCGTTGCTCCAGAATCAATAATCCATGGTTCTCATTTCTCGGCCAATCCACAAAAAACAATTAAAGCTTTACGTTTTTGAGACATAAGGGACATCGAAGAGGATTGAGTGATCATCTGTCTCAATTGTTCCATTTGCTCCTTGGTAAAGGCTGTGGTTCCTAAGGCTGGTTCAGTCTCCTCTTGTTTCTCGGTTGATGCCTGAAACCCTTTTCCTTCACGTCCACGAGTTCGATTAGAAGTCCAATTGGCTGGTTTCCCATGTAATTTCCAGCAGTTTTCCTTGGTGTGATAGGGTTTTTTACAATGATCGCACCATTTTTTGTTTGGTTTTCCTTCTCCCGGACTTTCTGGTCCACGGACAACAAGGATAGAGTTTTCCACATTTGGTGTATTGGGTTCTAGCATGACTCTCCTCCTTGACTCTTCCCTACGGATTTCAACAAAGATTTCCTCAATTTGAGGAAGCGGTCTCATCCCGAGGAGACGACCACGAACTTCATCCAAGTCCTTGTTCAATCTGGCTAGGAAGTCATAAACACGATCACGTTCCACCAACTTTTTATACAATACCGAGGCTTCAGGATCTTTCCAACCGGGTGAAGCAAACAAGTCCAATTCCTGCCATAGTCTTGTGGCCTCATGATAGTACTCTGTCACATCCTTCTCCCCTTGTGTTAGATTCCGAATCTTATTCCTCAACTCAAACATTTGTGATGTATTCTCCGAGTCGGAGTATGCCATCGTGACTGCATCCCAAATCCCTTTTGCCGTGGGAAAAAGAATGTATGTGTCAGCAATATTGTCTTCCATAGAATGGATTAACCATGCCATTACCATAGAATTCTGTACCTCCCAATTCGCATAAGAGGGATCCTTCGGATCTGGTGCTGGAATTGAGCCATCCAAGTATCCGAGCCTTCCCTTTCCACGAATCACCATTTGGACTGAACGGGACCACTTGAGAAAATTTTTCCCATTCAGTTTCTGTGTTGTAATTTGTAGGGAGGAATGATTGATCTCGGGAATAGCCGTGGGAGCAATTGTGGAGGTTGTTTTAGGGCTGCTCGTGGCAACCTCAGAAACAGCGCCTCCGCTTGCTCCAGTCAAAGCCGCTCTATACATTGTTTTCTTCAACTAGTGGCTCTGATACCATATGAACACACACGGGTAGAAAACAGAGAACAGGAAAAACACTGCATAGAATTCTTATTCCCTTATACCTTGAATCAAATACAACCAGCCATTAAATAGCTCTGAAAAACAGAATAAAAAAGGAAAGAATAAAGCAAAATAATCCTTTCTTAATACAATACGAATAAACCAAGAATATTCCTTGGACTTAAGGAACTACCATAAATAGATCCTAATCAAATTCAATTCGTCCACAGTTGGAATGTAAAAAGTAATATTGGCTCACCTCCTAATTGCTTAAGCTTTTAGGAGAATGTAAACTAACATTTTTTTTTTTTTTTTTTGGTTAATTGATAGCCAGAGGATAGATCAAGAGGCAAAACAAACATTATTGAAAAAGGGCAATTCCATTTAGCTGGCATCAAATGCTGGTGTCCTATTGAGTGGTTGTTTGACAATTTGTCCTTTGTCTTCTTGATGGTTTAACCACTATCATTTATGTCTACTGAATTCTTATATAGTTTTTGGTTTCATACCTCTATGTATGTTTTATTATTATTCTTTTTAAATTCTAAACGGTGTCTTCATTCGGGCTTGCAGATTATTTTTTCTGACAAATTGGTTCTTTGCAGGCTATTGGCCCAGAGCTGACTTTTTATAACGCAGCAAAAGATGTTGGGAAATCACATATTCTCGCTAACCAACTCTTGCATGCACAGCTGGATGCATTCTGCAGGTCAATCTTTCAACTGTTTTCCTTGAGTTGAATTCATTACTAGATGATCTTGTGTGTTCTGACAGTACTCATGTTTACTGATTATATTATATGAATACGTTACTTTGCACCTTAATTTTGATTAAGAATCAATCTTCATAACTATAATTGTGTGTTCTCGTTTTGTTTTTGATTTTCTTGTTTTGGATTTTGTCCCTTGCTGTGAGGATATCTTACCCTCTCGCTTCTTATAATTGATTATTTATCAATAAAGGAGTTTTTTCTGATAAAAAAAAAAAATAGTTCCCTGTTTATATTAGGCTTTCCTATCTTGGTTGGTTCAAATTTTTAGTTTAAACTTAAATATGTGCAATAATTCTTTTGGTCAATAAAATTTGTATAAAAGTGGAACTCTCCTAATGCAGATGTTTTCTCATTATCATATTACATAATGAGTATAATCTTGAAAACTTAAAATAAACATATCCACTAGATATTTACAGTAGTTCATTTTAGATTTTTAGACAGGAATAGAGATACATATCTTTGGATGTAGTGCAGATACATATACCTAGTTTGGGGGTGGAATAAAAAATGGGAAATCTATTCCAGGGAAAAAAAAAAAGAAAAAAAAAAACCAAACGTAAATGGGAGAAGCAGATGACAAGATATCCTCAACAGGCAAACGACAACATAAAAGTGTGGAAAAGAATTTAGAAGAAAACCAAGAAACCTCCAACTCAACAAATCTAGAAAAAAAAGGGGAAACCGCTAAAAGTGAACTTGCGAAAACTTTGCTTTGCTAGGTATTCTGGTGTAATGTGGTTATACTGCATTGTGAAATTGGAAAAATATTGTGCTGGCGATATTTAGTGGTACAATAGATGTCGAAGTGTAGATATTAGAATAGGAGAATTAGTTGAAATCCCTTAATTTAAGGGATTTAGTTAGTCAACTTTCCTGATGTAGTTCCCTGATTTTACTTGATTCAGTTTCCTTTCTTTTCTCTTGTAATTCCCTGTATATAGCCGTGTAACATCAAGAGTAAATAACACAATTATTTCCATCATTATTTGTGTCATGGTATCAAAGCCCTAGGGCTTTTTTTTCTCTGGGAATTTCCGTTTTTTGCCCTTCATTGCCATTCCTTCCGGTGTGCCTTTATTGCCACCGGTTATTCTTCCTCTTCTATGGTTTGCCGTCTTTCTTTGCTAGGTTTTGCTGAGAGTGCAACCTAGATTCATCTTCATCACTGCCGATCCATCTTCTTAGTTTTCTTTTTTCGTTCCTTCATCATGTCCACCACTGAAATCAAGTCCACCAGCACCTCTTCATCCGAGGATGTTTCTGCCGCTCAGAAAACTGGAGATCTGCAGAATATTAGGATGTCATACCGGTTTAATGGAAAGAATTTTTTCAAATGGTCACAAGTTGTTCGTACTTATCTCAAGGGCAAGGGAAAACTCAGCCACTTGCTTGGAACCGGACCAGCAAAGACAGATCCAGGATTTGCTGCATGGGATGAAGAAGATTCAATGATTATGTCTTGGCTATGGGACTCTATGGAACCAACCATTAGTGATACTTGCATGTTTTTTAGCAGTGCAAAAGAGATATGGGACTTTATCCATCGCACATACTCAAAGGCTCGTGATGCGGCGCAGATTTATGAGATCAAGATCATGACTGGGGCTATGAAGCAAGGGGACAAAACTGTTACAGAGTATGCTAACACTCTGCAAACCCTATGGCAGGAACTTAATTATTACCGTGTGTTTGAGATGAAATGCTCGGATGATGCTGCAATTCTCAAGAAATTTATAGAAGCAGATAGGGTGTATGATTTTTTGGCTGGATTGAACCCTGAATTTGACCTGGTTAGAGTGCAGATTATTGGTAAGGAAGAAACACCCTCACTGGAAGAAGCAATCTCCCTAATTCGGGCAGAGGAAAGTAGGCGAAGCTTGATGCTTGAAAAACAGCCCACCTCGGATGGATCTGCCTTCATGACAAAGACTGAGACTCAGGAGAAGGGAAAGAATGAAGTATCAAGGAATTCTGGAAAGGATAATCAGTGGAAGGACAACAAAGACAATCTCTGGTGCACTCACTGTAAGAAACCGAGGCATACAAGGTAGAATTGTTGGAAATTAAATGGGAAACCACCAAGCCGAGAGTGGGGAAACCACCAAGCCGAGAGTGGGGAAACCGTGGGGGGCAGCAGAGCCGAGAATGGGGAAACAGGTGGGGGCAACAGAAACCGCAAGCACACTTGGCAGAGCAGCCCAAAGCTGAAGAAAATTTGGCAACAGGAGGATTCAACAATGAAGAAATTGAGAAGTTGAAAAATCTCTTAGGATCTCTTGAAAAGCCTTCGGGAACCTTGCTCTTTGGCTCTTTCAGGTAAACCATCATTTACTTTTTGTATAAATGCCTCAGAACAGTTTTTTGCCAACTCATGGATAATAGACTCCGGTGCCACAGATCATATGACCCCTACATCCCAGTTTTTCCACACATATACCCCATGTCC